GGGCCCAGCCGCGGGCTGCAGGTCAGAGCCCGGCTTGGGTATCTCTGCGGACGGAGCGAGCGGGGCGGCTGCCGCGTGCCACGGGTTCCCCCGGGCTGCCGGAGCCCGCAGAGACGCCGGCGGGAACGTGCACGGCCCGTCGCGGGAGGACTGTCCTGTATGTCACCTGGAGTAGCTCGCACAGGCTCGGGGACGCGGCTGGAGGAGGCCAGGTTTGGGCGTCCGATGTGTGTGCCGCCTCTGCTCCTCCGTTCCCGGGTTCCCGTGGCCTTGGGATCACAGAGTCACCACTGTCACCTGTTACAGAGTTGCAGTGCGTCAAAGCAGGATGGGTGCAAAAAAAAAAAAATGACTGGAACGTGTAGTACTCCGTCCACAGGCCTCAGCTGTACTCCGTCCTCTAGGAAAGGGTGAAAGGCTTGCTCCCTTCTGCTTGAGGAGAACGAATCTTCCCCTCACGGTGGTGATCAGGTTTTGTTAGAAATTATGTTTAGGCTGAATTTCCGTGAGAAAATAACAAAAGTTCCACATGAGAGGCACAAATAACGTTCCAAGCGACTGGGCAGGTGATGGTCAGTCCTAGAACGGAGTGGACAAACTTTTAAAACTTAACGATAATGTCTCGTGATGGCCTGAAAGGGATTTTGCCACCTAGAAGTAGGTCAGCTTTAAACTAAATCCCGATGGATGCATTTTTGACGGCATTATCTCTTAATACTCATGTTTACCTGAAGCTTAAATCAGCTCAATCTAGCTAGCATCTTCCTAATGCAATAATGGTTTAAACATTACATCACAGGGCAGCTGAGAGAAGGAGTCAGTTTTCCCAGAAGAACCATGAATGTCGCTCCTAGCATCTATCCACGAAAGTATTAACTTGCCTGAAATGAACCCCTGGACATTTTACTTTAGACTGAGGAGGAAGGGCGCATATCCACACACTTGGTTAGAGTACACAAAGTGCGTGGGAGGAGTGGTTAAAGTACCATGTCTGCGCTGTGACTCAGCTTGCCATTCCTGACTGTCGTACAAAGCATGGGGTTAATGGTGTCAGGACTAACAGGAGAGGCCTAGCTTCAGTGCAGATCCTTTAAACAGTGGGCCTAAGGTAACTCATACATCCCAGGACCTGTTACTGTATACTATAGATGGTTTTATAGAATCTGTTGTATAGCTCAGGTTAACATTTTGCCACTCTGGGTCAGCAACAGAAAAACCTTTTTCTAAGTATGTTTAAAGTGTAACGTAGTAGGAAGTAATCAAGATTACTCTGGGTAAAAGTACATTGTTCACACAGTGGCAGGTGGACAGGGTCTTGTCAAATGCTCAGGTTCAGATCCACTTGGCGTTAGGAAACATTGTGTTAATTTGTCAGGTAAATAATTGGCACTCACTCCGTATCCTAGTGGCCCCAGCCATATTGATCACTGATGCTTTCCTAATTGGTTAACTCGCAGTTTCTGAGGGCTAAGATTGTTAACACTTTATAGTCTGTGTGCTCTGTAACGTCTCCAGTCAGACACTTAGGTTTCACCAAACCTGGTCGTGGTTATTGTCATTTTAGGATCATTTAGACCATTTACAATGGTCTAAAGTAACACAAATTAAAGGCACTTCTAGTGTTTGGTCTTCTGGAAGTCTTGGTCTAAAATAGACTGACTACTATAAATTTAAAAGTTTGGAGGACCCCTGGAATTGAATTTGAAAAAATAAGATTTGAACATGTGATTCTGTCACCTATCCTGTTCTACCCAATCAACCAAAAGCCCACAGCTCTGGTCATTAATATTTAGGAGTTAGGTCTACCCTAATATTTAGATCTTAAAGTTTTAGGTCCTTTATAGTTAAATTCTGTTTATGTTCCTTGACCAATATGTTTTTAGAAGACCAGTCAGACACCAAAACCTGTAGACTCCCTAAAACTGTCTGACTTGCTTTCAGACATCCCTCTAATGTTCAACACAGGGAAGAACTTCATCCTTAGGGGAAAATTCAGTTCCCAAACGCGAATAAGAAACCTTTATTCTTTTGCTTCCTGTTTGGTACACTTGTGTTCATCATCCCTGCTTTCTGTGGGAATGTCCAAAGAATGCATGATTATGTGTAGCAAAGTAACTTTTTATCTCATCACTTTTTTTTTTTTTTTTTTTAGCCAGATTCGGTAAACAGGCAGAGCTTGGTCCAGCTCCAGAGATGCAGGCCTGTTGGGAGGCACATGAAGAGCAGCTAGTGCGCTCCTGTTCTTTTCTAGGTTGATGTCACGAGAGAGACTGGTCTCAGAATCCCAGCCATTGTCTGGGTCTATGTTTTGAAGGGTCGCATTGTTTTCATCTGAGTGATAGCTACAGTTTAGAAACTGCCGTATCATTTCAAAATTCAGTTCTTTTAGCAATATTTTTAATCTTACATTTTAACATTTGTGTAAGAGCTATAATATTTCAAAATAAAAAAATGGGGAAAATACTGTGTTTTGTATGTTTTACGACCTAAATCTTGGGTCAGTATACATTTTCTTAAAAGAGCCAAACTGATAGTATATTTTTAGACTCTGTAAATACTGAGGGAAATTGAAGCACATAGGTATTTAGGATCAGAGTGTACCGATTTAGGAACTGCAGGCTAGCCTAGAATAGAGAGCATGCTTAGTATATGTATAACCTGAGTTTGACCCCCCCCCCAGTACCCCAAAAATACATGCAAGGAATGAAGGACATGTATCTGTTCAAAAATACAACATTATTCTTAGCTCTGGGCCATACAGCAGTTAGTGAACACGGCTTAACCAACCCCACCTTCTGTTCTTTCTTACAGATCCCATGGCCGGAAGTTATGGTGTGATGGCTGACGACGGCTCTATTGATTACACAGTCCATGAGGCCTGGAATGAAGCCACCAATGTTTACTTGATAGTTATCCTTGTTAGCTTTGGTCTCTTCATGTATGCCAAGAGGTAAATAAGGGCATATAAGATACCGCTCATTAAAGCGGTCTGGTTGTTGTTGTTCTGTTTTGATTTGTTTTAGCTGAATTAAATGCATAAAAATATCTCTTCAGAAATCTTGTTCCAGGACTGAGAGGTGCTTTCCACCATGTTGGTGCTGGTGACTGAGGTTTGATTTGAAAAATCCCATATTCAGTTCTGGGTAACACACCCGTCCCTCTACAGTTTGATGCTATCACTTCTAAAATACCTGACTCTGTCACCAGCTTTGGTACAGTGTCCCCTTGGAATGAGCACACTTTAAAGTATTTTTCATCCAAGTGTCTGAAATGCAAAAACACTCTGATGCCCATGTATAGCAACCTCTCCTCACCCGGTTGACCTTTCCCTTGCTTCTTACGCATGGCACTTGTGTTAATTTACATCTTGTTGCTTTGATTAAGACCAGGATGGAAAGCAACTTCCATCAACTTGCAGAGGAAAGCATTTGTTTCAGCTTATGGGCCTCAGTCTGTGAGGCCAGTCAGGACAGGAACTCAAGACAGGAACCTAGAGACAGGGACTGAAGCAGAGACCATGGAGGAACACTGCTTATAGTTTGTTCTCCATGATTTGTCCAGTTTGCTGTCTTCTGAAGCCTAAGACCTCCCACCCATAGTGAGCTGGGCCCTCCCACACCACTTACTGATCAGGAGAATGCCCCACAGACTTACCTACAGGCCAGTCTGATAGAAGCAGTTCCTCCACTAGGGTTCTGTCTTACCAGATGACCCCAGCTATATATCAAGTTGACAAGAAACCATACACTACTTCTCTGTTCTTTATTGATAAAAATACCAGTCCCTTGAAAACAAGAAATGGGGCTATTATCTTTGTGTCATTGATATGTGTCTTGGTCCAAATTCTTTTTTTTTGTTTTTGTTTTTTGTTTTGTTTTTCGAGACAGGGTTTCTCTGTATAGTCCTGGCTGTCCTGGAACTCACTCTGTAGACCAGGCTGGCCTCGAACTCAGAAATCCGTCTGCCTCTGCCTCCCAAGTGCTGGGATTCAAGGCATGTGTCACCACTCCCCGGCATGGTCCAAATTCTTAAGAGACATTTTTCTGCCTTAGTTTCTTGTGTAGCTTAAATACTGTTTTAACTCTTCCTGGCTTCTTTCCTCCCAATCCAGCAAGACAGTAATAGAATTAAGTATGTTGATGATGGTGGTAGTGGTGCTGGTGATGATGGTGGTGGTGCTGGTGTGGTGACAGTGATAATGCGGTGGCAGTGGTGATGAAGATGATGAGGAAGAAGAAGAGGATGATGATGGCTAGGGTGTATTTTAAAGAGGAAAATCAGTATTCTGTTTGTACGTATATACTTAAGGACATTCTCTCCTGAGGTTTAAAAAGTCATTAAGTAATTCATAATAATTAACACACCAGAAATAGTTTCTGTTTGGCCTCAGATATCTCTCGCCTACTTGTGCTTGCCCTTGTTGCTGTGTAGCTCTCTCTCAGTGGCTGCACTGCGGGCATGGTGTGGGAGGAAGGACCCACTTGCATGTGACAACATTTCTCTCAAAAGAGCTACCGCCTCCTGCCCACCTCTCTTTTAAAAGCAGAGATGTGTGCTCTTGTTTCTAAAACAATATCCCAAGAAACTGTGTCATTCAAGAACATTTTTCTTCATGAATTTTCCACACTCAGGTCTGCTCACATCAGGGATATTCCCCACTCCAGGGATTTGTCTTTGTTTGGGTATCATGAGAGGAAGGAGAATGGCTTCCTTGTTCATATACTGTGGCTTCAATATGCCATTTTTCCTAGGAGCTGAGGGGAATCACAAGGAAAGGGCCTCATTTTGTGGCCCCTTCTTCTATGGCGTGATAGTTCCACAGAGAGCCTTATATGTTAGTGGAAGTCACAGTACTTTACAAGATGGCTTTGATTGATACTTTTAATGGATCATGAGACAATCATATATGATTAAAACAAACCCACGTGGCTTTTGTGTTCTAGGAATAAAAGGAAAATTATGAGAATATTTAGTGTGCCTCCCGCAGAAGAGATGTTGTCAGAGCCCAGCTTCTATGACACAGTGAGCAGAATTCGCTTAAGACAACAGGTGGACGCACATCCCGTGTGTAAGTGTGTCCCGCGCCAAGCTGATGTGTAATGTGTTGAACACAGATTTTTCTATTGCACTTAGTTAACAAAAGGTTAAAAAACATGGCTGTTTAGAAGAACTCAGACCTTTCCCGACACAGATTTACCCCAACATTATGGCTGTTAGATCCTTTGCCTTCCTTTGTCTGAGGCCTCTCTGTGGCCTTGAGAGGTGATCATACTCTTAGGTTTGCCATGATGGAGATTGTAATCACCGATTGCTACCTCCATTTCTTCCTCCTCTAAATTTTCCTCCTTTGTCCTCATTTGGGATGACACTGAATGGTCAAACAACTGAACACCAAAAGTAGTATACAGATGGCTTTCAGGAACTGTGAAATCAAGGTGCAAGTTATCTCTGAACAATATTAATATACCCTGTGGTACTAATCACTGTTGGAACAGATGGAAAATCTCCCTGATGTAACAGGTACACCAGAAAGAAGAAACAAACTTTAAACTGTATAGGTCCCAAATCAACTGTATGTACATTGAAGCCTTTTGTCATATTTGAGAGATGAGGGCGTGACTTCCATGGTACATTAGGGAGGACAAACGAGATGGTGCTCATATTAGAATCCCAAGTTCATCTCAACTGTCCACCTTACGGAGTTTAGAGTCACGAAGGACACAGAGCTATAAGTAGGTCTAGAGGGACTTTCTAGATCAGGTTAACTGAGCTGGGAAGATTTAGTCTAAAGGTAGCTTGGCATCATGGCATGGGCTGAACTCAAGGACAGATGAGAAGGAGAAGGCTGGCTGGGTAGGAGTGTCTGTTGTTTCAGACTGAGGACACAGTGTGCTCACTGCTTCTCAGCAGGACTACCGTGTTTCCCTGCCTTAATGGACTGCGTCCTATAACTGTGAGCCGAAATAAACTCTGCTTTCCTTAAGTTACTTTTGTTAGGTATTTTCTGTAGCATCAAGCAAGTGATACATTGTTGTAAAGTCAAACAAACAACACTTCTTTTATTATCTCTCTATAACCTCTGTGTGTGTGTGTGTGTGTGTGTGTGTGTGTGTGTGTGTGTATGTGTGTGTTGACACAGGCACAGAGACGTGTGCCAGCTCACTGAGTTCACATACCTCTTGATTGCCGTTTGCAGTTTCATGTAGAAAGACTGGACAGCTGCTTTTTTGTTTTCCTTTGAGATGGTGGGTTGTGGTTTTTATTTTGTTCTTTTTTATTTTAGTTTTAAAAAAATTCTTTCTTGAGAATTTTATTCATGAATACAATGAAGTATGATCATATTATGAGACACTTCATCCTCACTTCATAATAAGAGTATTGGGATCGCAGAGTAAGTACGGAAGGTGAGACAGGCTTATTTTTGGTATTACGGAGGCAAGGTGGTAGGCTGAGCAGATGGGAAAAATGGCTGGCACACTGACTGGCCACAAAGCAGAGAGTTCCATGTCTCCAGTTGTGGTTTTAGTTTTTATTAGATGAATTTTTTAGGGAGGTACAGTCTTCCCAGTATTTAGTATTTCCCCTCACCAAATTCCCCACTCTGTTTGGTCAGGACATAGAGCCATATCTAATTTTGATTCATGGCTCCATTATGTAGCAGGCTACCAGCTATTTCAGCTCTTAGATGACCCTGGAGCTCCCAGACAAGCAGGCACCAGCTGCTAGGGAGGAAGATGGGCCTTGGGCTTTTTGCCTATCTGTTCCTAAATGTACCTCCTGCTGAAAATGGACCCTAATGATTCATTTCTTAAATTCTATTCTCCTTTTTAAAAAATGTATTGGTCTTATTATTAGCTAATTATGGTTATAGTTAGAGTTACAAAAGGAAGTTGGAAATGAAGCCATCAACCCTTTCTATCCTATAGTCCGTAATGGACCATCAGTTTCTGAGCTTTTTGTTAATTCTTCAGCAAGGGTGATTAACCTCCCTGGTCTCTGCTTCAGTTGCTGACTCTAGGATTCCGCCTTGACTTCCTCTGTAATGGGCTGTAGACTAAGCTGAAGGAAGTATACCCTTCCTTACCAAGTGGCTTTTGGCCATAGTGTTTATCACAGCAATAGGAAGGCATAGCGAGACAATCCCAGAGCCCTGCACACTGCTGCTCCAAGTCTTCATTTTAATGAGGAGGTGGTAAACAAGGCAGGGCATCCTGGACTTTTAAACTGAATCTTTCTCATCACTTTTTGAAGGGTACATACAAGTTAACTTAGCTTCAGTTCTTTATAAAATCCTCTTAGGTCTTATTCAAAGTGTTAGGAGAGGCTGAGGAATGGCACACGTCCACCCAAAAGTGGGACAAGATGCATCTTCGACTCTCAGAGACCAAGGGCTTCTCTTTCCAAATAGAGCAATCCTGGGAGCTGGACCATCTCCCAGACTGTGAGAAAAATCTCCCATAGTTCATAATAAGAACAGGAGAGTCTCAAGAGTAGCAAAAGCAAGACTTACCTATTTTCAGTTTGCAGAAACTGGAAGCCAGCCGGTACAGAAGGCGAAAGTGGCTGTGGTTCCTATTCGGCACAAAACAGTGGGGTGTGTGTGTGTGTGTGTGTGTGTCTGTCTGTCTGTCTGTCCCCTGTCCCAGTTCTTTGCCCTTTTAATTCTCATTGGCTGAGCGCTTTAAAGAAATATTATGTTGCTAGTGCCGCAGTATTGTTTTCTACCCCATATCCCCATTGGACTGGTTCCACACGCGGCCTTAGCTAATGAATATCTTGGGGCATTCTTAATCCTCTCCTCTCTTGGTATACTGGCTCAGGCGAGGAGCAGTCTCCTTGAACTTTCAACCCTAAACACGCAGGTGCAAGCCACCAGCTAGGAAAGGTAGATGTCGGTGCCTCCTGCTTATCTGGATTCTCTGGGATCTGAACACAGCTCAGACTGAAAATGGACCTTAACTAGTTCCTCTCACTATGTACCTCCCATTCCTCTCTAACACCCATAGATCTCCCTCAATACCTCCTTGTACAGCCTCAAGTTCTCTTCTAAAAAACAAACAAACAAAAAAACCCACAAACCCAACGAACCCCACTAAGTTAAGCTACTGCTGACTGTATGTACATGTAATGGCTGTCCATTAGAGCACAGGTGACCTTCCAGTGGCCATCCTCTCAAAGAATGATTCTCCCTCAGCTAACCAGCTATTAATGTATCGTCCCCAGAAGAGACTCTGTGGTTCGCTGCTTCTACCTATGCCCCAAGCCAAATACACATAGCAAAACATTTGAAGCTGGGATCCACATTTGACAGTGAACATGTGACATCTGTCTTACTGCACCTGAGTTCCCTCACTAAATATAACAATTTCTTCCATTTCTGTCCATTTCCTGGAAGATTTCATGATTTTGTTTTCCTTCACTATTAACATGCAGTCTTGTAAGTGTCCCACATTCCCACTGTCCATCTGTTGATGGACACGTAGGTAGAGTGTGTTCCATAGCTATTCTCAGTAGAGCAGCAGTGACCATGGATGAGCTGGTGTGTCTGTAGCAGGATATAAAGCCCTTTGGGTGCATGCCTAGGAGTGCTGTAGCTGGGTCGTATGACAGTTCTATTTCTAGCTTCTTTGAGAGTGGTGGCAATAGTTTACGCTCCCGCCAACTGTGTATAAGAGTCCTTTAGCCACATCCATTTGTCATTTGTACCCCTGATGGTGGCCACTCTGACTGGGATGAGACAGAATCTTACAGCAATTTAAATATGCAATTCCTTGACTTTGAGCACTTTTTAAAGCATTTACCAGCTATTTGTAATTCTTTTATGAGTTCTGTTCAGTCTCATAGCCTGTTTTTACATTGGATTACTGATTTTCTTAATGTTTTCTTTTCTATGTTCTTTGTGTGTTTTAGCCACTAATCCTGTCAGATGAATAGAGAACAGTTGTTTACTTACACTCTGTGGGCTGCCTCTGCACTTGATTGACAGTTTCCTTTGCTGTATAAAAGTCTCACAAGGCCCCATTTGTCCTTTGTTGATCTTCTTTCTTATGCCGTAGGAGTCTGATTCAGAATTGTCATCCGAGTCTGTAAGCCGAAGCACACTGCTTTTTCCTCGAGCAGTTTCAGGGCATCATGTCTTATGTTGAAGACCTTGAAGTTGAGTTTTGTGAAGGGTGGGAATTAAGGAACTGGTTTTACTTGTCTACACATTGAAAGCCAGTTTTCTCAGCACCATTTGTTGAAGATGCTATTATCTTTTTAATCCCATTGTCTTAGGTAGGGTTGCCATTGCTGTGAACAGACACCATGACCAAGACAATTGAGTTTCAGTCCATTATCAAGGTGGGAACATGGCAGTATCCAGGCAGGCATAGTGCTGGAGGAGCTGAGAGTTCTACATCTTGTTCCAAAGGCAAACAGGAGAAAACTGGCTTCCAGGCAGCTAGGAGGAGGGTCTCAAAGCCCAACCCCACAGTGACATGCTTCCTCCAACAAGGCCACACCTACTCTAACAAGGCCACACCTCCTAATAGTGCCACTCCCTGGGTCAAGCATATTCAAACCACCACACCTGTTGTATGATTTTTTGCATTATTGACAAAAATTCAGTGGTTATAGGTGTGTAGACTTATAGCTGGGTCCTCAGTTCTATTCCCTTGGTCTGTGCATCTGTTTTTGTGCCAGTATAGCACACTATATTTATTACTATGACCCTCGTTTAATTTGAAATTAGATATGGTAATATGTCCTGTAGTACTTTTTTTTTTTTTGTTCAGGACTGGTTTTGCATTCCCAACATGTAAGCTATAGGGCATAAGAATCTGTATTTACCCCAAGTAGCATAAACAAGAATCATGTCTCTTTTGGCTAGAAACAACATAAAGGAAGAAGTTGCAAGTTTTAAAGCTAAATAGTTGAATGGAATTCACAGATCTTTTTAGCTTTACCATCTCTAGGTTCGCCTTAAGATAGTTTTTCTTTACTGAATGGTTTTCTAGTAAGAAGAATTGTGTATTTGTTTTGGCTTCTAGTTAATAGTGGTGACCTTTATGTTCAATAAGTCTATAGGCTTCTAAGTTAAATACAGTAAAAACAAAAAGATGTTACTATCAAAGTGCTGAGATAAGTTATTATTGAGAGCTCAGTCCTGTGAGGGACATCTCTGTCCACCTCCTCCCACAAGGCTCAGCGATCATCGAGGAAGGAAGAGGGCTGGAAAGATAGTAACAGCCAGAGGTTAAAGAAGAACTGCAACATAGTGTTTTTGAGATGGGACAGAATGTTGCACATATGTCTGTGGTTTCTTGTACAAGATCAAACCAGTCAAAATTCCAGGCTGGGTGGGTAGAGGATGCATGAAGCTCTGACAGAGGAGAAACAGTTATTGGTTGCTGAGGTAGAGTTAGTTTCTTTCAGGGAAATGGTCCCTGGTCGGTTACCTATGGCTCAATGGGTGGTCCCACTACCATGCATATACTGAAAGCACTAGATGGACTTTCTGAGTTTAAAAAAAAAAAGACACAAAGTTGGAAGGGAAAATGTGCAGTGACGAAGGAGTCTGGGAGAAGATGGCGTGAAAGAACAAAAGCTCTGATCAGAATACATTGTATCCATGTATGTGTATGTGTGGATGGATGACAATCTCAAAGAATAAATATATTTTTAAAAAGTAGTAAGAAAGAAAGAAATTAAAATTTTTGATAGGTTATTCAGTTATTTTTTATATTTTAAAGTTCAGAATGATCTTGATATTTAAATAATAATTATAAATATAAGATATATATATGTGTATATATATATATATAGTGTTGAAATTAGAAGGCTTTAGAATATAATTAACTTTCATAGAGAAAACCAGATGTTTAATTCTAATTTCTTACCAAGTATCATGATTTAATGTGATTTAGTGACATTAGCTCGTAATGATTTTATGCTTCATCTTTCTCGTCATTATTTTTTCATAGCAAGAAAGTACGAGTATCAACAGCCACAAAGCCAGGCCGACAGTGTGCAGCTCTCATTGGAATGAAACTTCAGACTGAGCAACAGAAGTGATTGTGATGCGGCATGAGAAACAAGTCCTTCATCCCTCTACAAAATCATGAACGGCATGTAGAAAGCTCGGCCTATTGTGCCCCTGTCCCAAGCCTTCATTTGTTTCTTCTTCCAGGACTTTCTTCATAAACGCAAAAATACATCTTAGAAGGGAAATGCTTTGTGACCACTGATGGAGACTTGCCCTTTTGAGGGTCAGTGATGTCTTCAGGATACAGTGAAACATACAAGCGTGTCTTTGGAAGCAAGAATCCTAGAGTTAATGTCACTTTAGAATATTTTTATAGAGTTAAAACATGAAACTCTAGCTGTTGGGATACTTTGCTCTTAGGATGTAGTCTGTTTAACATTGGTAGCAGACTAATTTGTGTTGCTTCCACGATTGTTCCTGGCTCTTTGAGTGACCTTTCCTTCAAGACTTGTATGACACACGAGGAACCTTACAGTCTCTTCTGCACCATGAAGCTTATCCCAGCTGCTACTTGTGGATACTTTCTGTATCTGGGTTTGTCTCCCTTTGATTGTATTCCCAAAGCTGTTATTTTGTTTCTGATCCCACATTTCCCTTGCCTTCCTAGGGCTCCTTGAGGCCATGCTGTTAGACAAGGAGAAGTCTCCGTCTTGCTGTCGGCCCCTCACGTTCCCATGGTTTCCCCATCCCTGTTGATGGTTACAGCAGTGTCTTCTGTTGCTTAAAGCTTTGCTGAACACCCAGCTGCCTCGCACCATTCTGTACTATACAATGGAAACCCAGTGTTTCACGTTTATTCTTACAAAAGCTGGTTGGAGGTAGTGGTAGAAGCAAGTTGAAACTCAATCTGAAAAACACAGTCCTACTGTCTTGGTGAGTACAAAGGTCTCTAGGGAAACCAGAGCAGAGGGAGACAGCACAGGAGGAGGTGAACCACAGGAGGACACAGGTCACAGTCTGCTTTAAGTGTTTCTGAGTTAACAGACGATCCCTGAACTATGACTCGCTAATGCAGACCACCTACAGCCTGTTAGAAAGCAAACAGCTAAAAGACAGGCACTCACTGAACTGCCTTCAGCTGCGGCCCACCACAACATCATAGTTTGATTCCTGCCAATCTGAACAAAAGAACAAAAGTCAGTACTCCAGCAGACATCGACAGAGCCAAGGGACCCTGCACTATATTGTTCTTCGTGACCTAGGTACAACAAGTAGAAACAATCAGAAGGACAGGAGAATGAGACCCAGGGTCAAGAGGAGAAGCAGTCAATGTAACTGGGATTTCAAAATGTCCCATATGTGAAATCAACAGGCAGGGACCTAAAAGCAGCTGCTACGAGTGTGATAGGGTTAGGATTGGAGTAACAGCCCAGAAGTTTAAGAACTCTAGTGATGTTAGTGAGTCCAGTCTTCAGGGTTACTCTTTAACCCTGCTATAAGTAACTCAGGTATAAATAGAGGAAGATTGGGGACAGAAGCCGTCTCAACACCTGCACATACATGTACATCATATATGTGCACATACAGATACGCAAGATTAGAAAAGCACTTTCTTTTTTTAAAAAATCCAGGTTAAATAAAAGACCCAGAGGTCTGTAGGTACATGGAGGATTCAGGAGTGTAAGCTGGGTCCAGATGGACATCTGTCTAAATTTCAGTGATCTCTTCCAGACACGCTCTGTGTCTCATGGTTCACTTGAGAAAGTATAGCCAGTATTAACTACTCAGGGAGGGCTGACAAGATACAGATCCCCAAGAGTGGTTTCTATTGTTTTTATATTTTCTTATTAATTAGTGTGTACAATTTATGCCAAAAAAACGTTATTAGGTGGGCCACAGGCCATAGTAGAGAAATATCTGTGATAATTAAAAGAAGTTCTTTACTTTGAATAGATAAAATAGCAGAAGTACGCTTATAAACCACACCAGACACTGTAGCCTTCCCTTCTAGCCTGTCACCATTCCTTTTTGTCAGCCATAGCTTCACAGAAACACTTGCCCCAGGAACCGCCAGTGGCTGCACTGCGCTGGTGTTCTGGTAGATGATTTTCACTGTCCTTCCTGTCTTCCGTTATGATCTCTCAGGTCTCTCAGTGCTGTGCAGCCTCCCACCCCAACTCCATTCACTGGTAACTCCACCTCATGGTGCAGATTCAAGGTCCCCCCCTAGTCCTTTTGTTCCCCAGTCTCCAGGCTTATCTTTGTCCAATTTAGCCTGCAGGAATCTCTCCTCTCACCACCCCTCCACTGCCTTGAGACTGATTCTTGGTGCAGACATAATCCCTCTAACATGTTTCCACAGCCCCTCTCAACCCTTTCTCCTCTCATCTCCATCTCTCTCTGCCACTCACTGGCCTGCAGAAGCTCTCTGCCAAGGTTCCCTCAGTCACCACCGCTTGCCTCGGCTTCAGAGAGGTCAAGAGGAACCATGAACAGAAGAGTCACCCAGCAAAGACAAGACCCAATAGCAACACCAAGAAACACCTCATAACTTGAGATGTTTGGGCAAAAACATAAACAGCCAAGATCATTTGCTTCCACCAGAACCCAGTAGGCCCTGGGAAATGCAGTATAGCTGAAACCCAAGACCGGGGGTTCAAAAAAAAATGATGAATACGGTCAAGAACCTTAAAGAGGATGTGAATAAATGCCTCAGTGCAGACAATGAAAACACTTTAGACATGAAAGTAGAAATAGAACTGCTGCCTTCAGGTTTCTACCGCTGTGATGAAATACTGTGATAAAAGCAACTTGGGGAGAAAACTATTTGCTTTACATACCACAGTCCATCAAGGGGAACCAAGTCAGGAACTCAAGCAAGTAGGGTACCTAGAGGCAGGAGCTGATGCAAAGGCCATGGAGTGGTGCTACTTACAGGCTTGTTTCTCGTGGTTTGCCCAACCTGCTTTCTTATAGAACCAGGACCACCAGATGAGGGATGACACGACCCACAGTGGGCTGAGGACTCCCACATCAATTACTAAGAAAATGCCCTAGAGGCCTGCCTACAACCCAGTCTTATGGAGGCATTTTCTCAATTAAGACTCCCTCCTGCAATGATGTTAGCTTGTGAAAAGTTGACCTAAATCTAGCCATCATAATCATTAAAGAAAAATCACACAGACATGAAACTAGAGATGAAATTGTTAGGAGGTAAGAAGCCTCATGAACAGATTATAACACATGGAAAAGAGAAAGAGGTATTGGAGACACCTGATAGCTTAGTCAAAGAGAATGTTAAATCTAAAATAATCCAGACACAAAACATACAGGAAATCTGGGACACTATGAAAAGACCAAACCTACAGAGAATAGGAATAGAGGAAAGAGAGAAAAAAAAATAAACCCCTCCCCCACAAAAACAAGTCAAAGGCCTAGAAAATATTTTCAACAAAATCATAGAAGAAAAATTTCCCAACCTTAAGAAAGAAGTGCCTATCAAGGTACAAGAAACATACAGCACATCAAATATACAGGACCAGAAACAAGATCTCCCAAAACACAAAACACTAGATGTACAGAACAAAGAAAGAAAGACTATTAAAAGTTGTAAGAAAAAAAAGACCAAGTAACATAAGGGTAGGCCCATTTAAATAACATCTGACTTCTCAGTGGAGACTCAAAACCAGAAGGGACTGGCCTGGTGTTGTACAAACTGAGAGACTATGGAAGCCAACCTAGATTACTATACCCAGAAAAACTATCAATCATAATAAATGGAGAAAGAGAAACACTCCATGATAAAAACAAAATTTAAGCAGTACCTCTACCGATCAAGCTCCACAGAAGAAACTAAAAGAAAAACATCAATCGGAAGAGGTTTGTCACACCCAGGAAAACACAAGAAGTAAATAATCTCAGAACAATAAATCAAAAAGCAGGTACCCACATCATAACAAAACACAAGAATTAATAAACAGTGCTCACTGATAACTTTCAATATGAATGATCTCAATTGTCTCAGTAAAAAGACTAGCATATTGGACTAGATGGCTGAGTCCATCTTTCTGTTGCATTCAAGAAACACACCTCATCATGCTTAATAGACACCACCTCACAGTTAAAGGGTATTCCAAGCAAGTGGACCTGTCTTAGTTACTGCCCTGTTGTCATGAAAAGACACCATGACCCAGGAAATTCATGAAATAAAGTGTTTGGGGACTGACTTACAGTTTCAGAAGGTTAAGTCTGTGATCATCATGATGGGGACCATGGCAGCAAGCAGGCATGGAGCTGGAGCAGTAGCTGAGGACTTACATTTTGATCCACCAGCAGTAGACAGAGTGGGGTAAGAGGATCTGGCCTGGGCTTTTGAAAGCTCAAAGCTCCCACCCCCACCCCCGCCCCAGTGACACATCTCTTCCAACAAGGTCACACCTTATCACCCTATCACTTTACCAACTGGAAATCAAAATTCAAATATATAAGCCTGAGGTTGGGGGGCATTCTCATTCAAACCACCATATTCCACTCCCTGCACCTCATAGGCTTGTTTCTCTTGGTTTGCCCAATACGCTTTCTTATAGAACCCAGGACCACCAGCCCAGAAATGGCACCACCCACAATGGGCTGAGCCCTCCCCCATTAATCACCAACTAAGAAAATGCCTTAGAGGCTTGCCTATGGGGGTGTTTTCTCAACCGAGGCTCCCTCCTCTCTGGTGACTCTAGCTTGTGTCAAGTTGACATAAAACTTCCAGCACAGTCACTAAAGACAAACAAAACAGACATAAAAATGGAGTCTACAGAGGTCATTTTCATCCAAACCACCACAGACCCTTACTTGGCACATGCTGCGCTTTGGATATGGCTTAAGTGTGTCCCCTCAAGGTGCACATGCTGAAACGTTGGTCTCTACAGTGGTGGAATTAGGAAGTAGATTTTTTTAAGGTGTGGAGCCTCGTGGAAATTCCTTAGACAAATGGAGGACATGCCCTTGTAAGGGAAGGGACAGCCTCTTTGGGGCTTCCTATTTGAAGGCATAAACATTTTCTCCTACTTGTTCCTGCTATTCACCATTAGACCCCCATGACACTGGGCAGTCAGCGTCCACAATTGTGAGCTAAATAAACCTTCTTTCTTAATAACATTACCCTGACTCAGCTATTCAATGGCAGTAATCAAGAAGAAGAGGAGGAGGAGGAGGAGGAGGAGGAGGAGGAGGAGGAGGAGGAAGATGATGAGCAAGGGCTGGGGGGATTAAGAGTATTTGATCTGCAAACGTGAGGTATGGAGTTTAATCCCTTGCACCCTGTAAAAAGCAGAGTGTGGCCTTGTTTACTACTTGTTTACTATGCCCTATTGCTGGGCGGGGAGGCAGAGACAAGAACTGTCGTAGCTTACTGCCAATGCGGTTTCACGTTCAGTGAGAAACCTTGTCTCAAAGGAATAAAGGGTGGAATAGCAGGTCACCTGACATCTTCCCCTAGCCCGCCAGGCCTGGAAGTACAAACATGTGCACCTGCACATACCTGTGCACATACAGCCGTCCATACACACATACAGTGCAGAAAGTACATTTTCTAGTGCTTGTAATGGGGAGAGACGGGAGAAAAAGAGCCAACGAATGTCTGGACGAGTGTCTCTCCATCACAGTGGACGGTAGAGAGGAATTAGTGGGAAGAGTCTTCGCTAACATTCTAGTCTTAACATTTCCTAGACTGGAGGTCAGACTTCACAGACTCGGATGTAGGCTGGACCTAACGTGGCTATTAAAGGTCCATATGTTAAATAAAGGCCTTCCC